TGGGGATAGAATAATATATTTTAATAAGAATAGGAATTTGTTACACAGATGACCACATCTGCATGGATGAGCCATGCTATGCCGACCGAGTGTCCCCGTGTTCACCATCTACGACCCTCCCTAGGTGTTACATGTTGAATACAAATATTCCTGGTAATTATATGCTCGACTTCAAAGATCGTGATTTAGCAACAGATGCCACTACGGGCTACGAAAATAATGAAGTAAAGAACTCTGACTTTTAGCTGTAATGTTTCGATTCTAACTGCAGGTTGTTGGCTGAATCATAACCACCCATTCTCTGCTGCTGCGGGCTCTCCTTGTATGAAGACAGCTGCACTTGAATCATGATATCATAACTCTCATATTTCAATAGGCATCAAGATTTGTGGACGTACATCAAGGCTTATAAAACAAATTAATGGAATCCTAAGACGAGGTTTTTAAACCTCCCCACTGTTGATCATCTAGCAACTAAGTGTCTATGAACTCAACATGGACTTATGTTTATAGATATCATTACCAAGGTTTGATTTGATAACTTCGAATAAATTGGGCATTGGGAATTATATTTAACTAAGTATAATGATTTAAGCTTAGGTGTGGCAATTCAGATTTATTAGTCCAACCTGAACATCCCACAACACCCGGAGAAGCCAAACCGCTGGTCTGACCTGGTAGTCGGCAATACGACTCAATTCGTATCCGTCTAAGTCAAAGATTATCACTCTATTATCAATTGCCTATAGGTTAGTGTAACGCGGTTACGATTGAAAATTATCATGATCGGTGAGCAAGTAGGTGAAAGCCTCTTAATATAGGGGCTTTCTTTGAGGCTCAGCTTACCAATTATATCATTTGCTGTGAACTTTCCCCTAATGATTTCCAAACGCTACGTAATGATACATAGGACATTGGTTAACGGAGTCGCGCCCTACGTATCCTCTTCCCTCAGTCCCCAATGAACTGCCTTGCGGCGCGTTGTAAAGAATACTTGTGGTTTTTGTCTGTTAGGTGTCCCGTATAGACTAACTGAAGCCTTCACTTGCCCAAACAGTTATTTTCTTCAAACAATAAGAAGTACTCTAGAAATGAATTTTCTCCAGATATTGTTAATGAATGAATTTAGGGTTCCTGATCGCTTCTCCATAGAAAATAGATCAGAATTGACTACTGGTGTTAGGGGCTTAATGGAAAAAGCTAGTCTGTAGGAAAATATGGCTCAGCGGACCGTCTGGGAAACAAACAGATACACCTCTGGTCTGGATTTCATTTTTGCCAAACGTAAGTCGGATGTCACTAATCTAATAATAATGAACTACCTGGGTCATACTAATGTTTTTCTCTATAACATATTTTTCTGATGAATTTACCCAATACAAAGCTCTAGCAAATCTAATCATGATACCGTCAGAAGATACCATGAAAAACTATCCTGATTGAGCGAACATACTCAAACAGCGGTATCTTCTCAAGAAACCTTCTAGTTAGCCAATGGCTACACTTCTATTTGGCAGTCATACGCAAAATCCCTTTGAACGTCCTCTTATGGGAAGTATTTAACCTGAAGATATATCAAGAGTATGTAATACATGTATCCAGAGAATCGAGTGGGATAAAATAACTCATCAGTTTCGTCTTTCTAAGTCTATGTAAAGTAGCCACACGTATCGATACAGTTTCATGAGGAGTTGTGTACACACCATGTCGAACATCTTTGATCAAGATTTTTCGACACCTTCCATAGCTCGGTCGCTAATTTCCTGGTTAACGAATCCCAACTCATTTGTTCTCACTCTGCTACGCATCTCTCTGTAAGTACCTCCACATGAAATCCATTTTTCTAATATCTCAACACGACTTTCTACCCATAACACAGGCCTGTTGACTACCTGGAATAGGTGAACAATCTCTCTGGTACACAACCATCCGGTTCGTATTGGCTGTCCAAAATCCTCCAAGACATTGTGTAGTATTAACTATTTCAATAGGTCTGAGAACCTAAATTTTACGGGCATAAATTGGAGTTTAATAATGTAACTTTTTGAATACCTAGACGGGAGATTTCTAGCTGTCAGAGTTTGCACTGCTGTCTGGCCAGTTTTAACGAAAAGCCAAGAGTCACAGGGCTCAATGCTTGTACATATTTACTAACTTGCGCTTGGACATAGCGTCGTTTGATATTTCACTGATGACCTACCTAACTCCTTAGACTCTCAAATCCTACCTTTTGCATATGATATTTTGATACAGAATAGTATATTGTTAGTTCAGCTTATATCTTGTCTCCCTAAGAGGATATATGTTATTCGACTGACCATCAAAAACCACCATTCCCAGAATACCAGTAAATGCCGAGTGCTGCTGGTGAACAGCAGCAATGCACTATCCCACTTCCTACTTTCTAGGCGATTCCAGTGTTTTACTATTCACCACTCAAATGACATCGGCGTTACTCTTTGTAGCACTTTTGGCGTTTCCTACTAGTATGCGCAATCAACAAGATCTACTCGAAATAAATAGTTCTGAAAGTCTTTGAAATTGATGCTGGCCTAATTATTTCTGTTAGACAAACCCTGGCTAAAGGCACTCGGTCACTATTCCGCACGTGGTCACCATTGAATACGCAATGATGCGCAACTCTCGTAGCAACCAATCAGCTTAAATCATATCATTCTTGATGTACCAACTGTCTCCCAATTATATTTTTGATCTCCTTCATTTCTGACATCTGATTTGATTGGAAGGGGGATCCTTTGGTCGTAAACTTGCTACGATCAAAAGCACTATCTAACTCTGAAAATAGGTAAAATCTTTATGCTCTTATTCCCTCCACCCTATCATATAAAATAAGTTTCACCAATAAACTACATATCATAGGACATTAATTTAAGATAAAGCACGAAGGAGCTCGTATAAAGTCCTTTGCAAACATTCTGTATTTCGAATGAGGAAGTTATAAAAGGTTGGTTCCAAGAAACAAACCTTACAGTAACTGCTTACAACAGGCTTGGTATGCCGGATCGTACGTGGATATATAGCACGTGCAGTATGAATGCTAAGGGTTCGGTAAGCAACAACATCATTCTCTTGACAGGTCTGCGGAAAAATGTGTTAGCGAAACTGAAAAAAGGTTCTAAAACTGGTAATCAAATGTAGCGCGGTAATGAAAAGAAGAGGAGTCTCTACAATGTTAGCGTTGACGGAACATGCATCGACATTAGTGAGGATACGCTGGAGCTCAGCAACATAACTAGGGCGGCCTGCTTGAGCATCTGGGCTACCTGTTCCTGCCATCTAGATATTTCAACAAGTTATCTATTGTTGTTTGTTTTAATATATCATTATGTTTATTAATCGCATAACCTATTCTGCTGCGTTTCTGAAAAGTGTACAACCTTTCGTTGTCAAAGTTACAGAAAACTCAATAAAAGACAATATGGTTGCTGGCAATGTACAACGAAAAGAATGCACATTATTCAGTTGTTCATTCACTGAAGTGCTAACATCTAACTGGCGTTTCCTCAATATTTATCGCCAGGACCGACCAAGAAGAAAGAAACGGAAACTTGTTGAAATACTTTGAGCTGAGAATTCTATATTGTACCAAAATTATAATATTGAATAAAGCTAATAATAATAATAATAATAATAATCATAACATCGACGGCACCAGACTTTTTCAACAAACGTGGGTCTCCAAGCACAGGAGCCCTAAATGTAGTTGTACCCAAAAACTCTGTAGCCGATTGGAATCGTGTCAGCAAAGCTAAAACGAAGTGAGTTTCATTATCTAAGTGGCAGAGCATTCCAGGCTTTGTAGTGAAATTAACTAGTGATTTGGCCGTACAATCTACCCCTAAGATTTTCCAACCAGTTATCAAGGAGAACGAGTATCCCAAACGTATTTGAACTACCAAACAAAGAGGTCCTCAACCTGAACGTACCCGAAAACCTGGGAAACAGTCACGGTTCGTAATGATTCTCACATAATCATGAACCTTAAAGACGGCCCTGAGCTCCCCTCATTTTGCAGAATGAAAATGATAGAATGCTCTGGGAGGAGTTAAACAAGAAGCTCGAAATTCCCAAAATAGAGCCTTTGACTGTCACATGGCTCAGTCGGGGAAATGACTCTAGGCATCGAAATCATCCAAGACTAATTCGTGTAACACTCACCAACTCTAACGCCGTAGAGAGTGTTCTACTAGCTAGTCACTCACTGAAATGTAAGAATACTGCCTGGTATGGTGTATTCTGAGTGCAATCTCATCAGGAACATTTCTGAGGAATCTCACGAGACAGTTTATCGCTGAAGAAATATCATTGTGTAATGTGTGTTAGAAAGCACAGAGCTTGACAACAGAGTCACTGATATTTGGTAGCGAGAAATCATCAACCAGTCCTTGAAGCTCAAAAGCTTATTGGCTCAACAAGTGGTGAGACTAGTCAAGAAGGACGGGCATGGTGGAGATTTGTAGCTCAGGTGGATGATTTTGACGGAGTTTTGTTCTCTGAGCTGGATGGTTTGGTCGTGCTCAGAGGACAAAACTCTATCGAAAGGACGAGGATCCTAGACAGCGGCTGATGAAGATAACCTGAACATCCCCCAATATGGCGGCTGCAGCTGTCGAAACATTTCGTGCCAATAGACGCTGAATAGGTCACATGACGCCGTGATCAAGCACGAAAGCGAATCGGAGATGGAAAGACAAGGGCTAACAACTCAGAAAGCCCTGTATAGATAGGCTAACTGTCCATTTGTAGAATTATAGCCTAGTTCGCTCTTAATACTATCATAATAAGAGACCCAATCCCAAAATTGTAGATTTGTCATGAAGTGGCTGCCTAATCGATAAGATTTTACGTGGTAGACCCATAATTGTCTATTCATAAGACGGAACTTCTAGCTTACTATTTATCTGGAATTATATCAACCTCTGAAATTTCAATTTTGAACGTTTGTTCTACTCGTCTAGTTCAGTGTGGCTTTTTTGAAAATGGTTGAAATCACGCCTTTAGAGTCCAGAATAATTAGACAAGTTGAGGTAGCTCATGCCAATTCTTTTTTCTTGAGTTTCTTTAGTATTACTTTGGAGATGTAAATCTGTCACGCGATAAGTTCATGAAAGAGGCTGTTAAAGAGAATGACGGATGTAAGATTTATATTTGAGTTAAATCATAATTTCATGTTTTCAGGGATTCCTATGGAGACAATGATTAAATTTAACCGTCTAAAGTCTTTGTCAGAGGATGTTGAGTTCATAAAGAAGTCAGTATCCAAGTCACAGTCCGGGTTGATTGAAGTAGGCGAAAAAGGTCTTCGAAGAAATCCTGAAATGAAAGTTCCTGAAACATTTGAGACAGCTCTTAACAGCTATAAAGAAAATGGTGTCTATGTTAAAGGCTTCTCTCCTGACGAAAAATTGGACGAAATTATTGAATGGCTTGAAAAACACGGTGGCAAAACCCTTGATGTGCATATGCGCAGATTTCCACGAGACAAAAAGTTTAGGGTATTCTCAATTCCTGTCTTAATATACATGTAACAGGGAAGCATATTCGCTATTTTTGAGAAGAAGGAGGATTCTGAAAAGTTCCTGGCTTCACCAGAGGCTGCTACTTTCAAAGAAAAAGCTATGGTTCGTTCAACCCAGTAAGTTTAAATGGTTTGGAAATACGTGAAGTAGTTTGATTCGATTTCTTATACATAAACGACTGTTCTCTATCAGGTAAAAGAGCCTACTTATATCTTCCTGCCAGATACAATATTTAACAGTTTTATAGTCATGTTACATGTCTCAGCTATCTAAAGTTCAGTCCAGGTAGCAGTATCGCTGAGCATTAATTACCGATTGATATCAAAGTAGCAAACATTTGATGGCATTAAGAGTGTATTTAATACTAGTACCTGTCACATCTCCTTCATGAATTATAACCATTTTCCTAATTATGCTCAATGTTTACCGCTAGCAACCTTAACCGATAGGTAATTGTGCAGACTTAATTACGATATCTGCCAGGGTATCAAAAAGTAGAGACAATATGTTCTATTTAAGATCAGGTCCCAGACTTTCTCCATTAGACTTTATATCGACGGATAAAAACGTAAACTAACGTCTTGAATCTGCACATAACACTTTAGTCTATTTACTGAAGTTTCTAGTGGTCACACACCTATCCCATAGGTTGGAATCTCATGACACTGTTTGACAGTTCAAATCCCAGTTTCCGAGGAAGCGTACACAACTGTGACCGAAAAAGTAAAGCTGTTTCCAACCTCAACTAAGCAGACGAAAATGTTAAGTATCCAGTTTCATGATACCTTCTTGTGCTATCATTTGTTATCATCAGTAGCCACCTGGCAAAACTTAAACCACGGGTTAATCACAATTGAGTAATCAAGTAACTGAAATTTTATCTGGTATCGCATAAGTAGTGTAGTTCACAGTTGATGAATTAACATCCAATAAAACCAGTTGAAATTACAATTAACTATGGAATAGTGGAATAATAAAATCAAAAGTAAGCAGACCTAAGTAACCTGTAATTTGGTCAGCAATCTGTATAATCCGGTTGAGACAACTGGATTGTATCGCTGGTTATTACATTTAAAGTGTAGCTCAAAGTGTGATACATGGTTATACTTATTAAATTAGTTGCATTTTCTTAGTAATCCAAGCTGCGTAGAGAACTCGTTTCTCGTTGAAATATGCAGAAGACTGATGGTTGGTACCCATGCAATGTTCAGAATCCATTATAAACTCCGAAGTTATTTCCTGCAAACTTCAGTATGAGTGCAAATTTTGGGTGATTGTAATGCTCTATCTTAATCTGTAGTAACTCGATGCATTCAGATTATTTAGTTCGTATAGTCAAAATAAGTTCACTTACCGATTAATTTCTAACCTAAAAACTTGAAGTTGCACTGCATTTTATGATAGTAAATACGACCAAATACTTTTGGTAGTATGTTAATACTCAAAATTCAATTTTAGAATCGATTATTGGAAACGCAAAGAAGAAGAAAACAAGGCTAAAGTTGCTTCACAAGCCAAAAAGAAAGCTGCACTTGAAGCTAACCAGGAAGCTCAAGTTAATTCTCGAATGATTCGTGGAGCATTACTTGAAATCGTTGGTCTCCCAGAAGCCACAAAAAGTAAATATCTGTTTGTCCAACTTTACCAAAACAATATAACTCATCAGCAAATGCTACATAACCGATTTTATCTCTTAAATGTTTGTAAAAACCAAGAAAACTGACAGTGTCGGATCAGATTTTGGAATCCTAGGTTCCTGGAGAGGGATAAAAAAGCAGAAATATTTTCACTATTTCGGAAAAGTACCGAATTTTCGTAAATTCCTTAGTACCTGGTTGTTCAATTTAATGCTTATGGCTCATCTTAGAGAATTCGTTGTACGTGGATGCGAATCTAGTCAGGATTGGTAGCAAAAATATCAGAATCAAGGTATCGTTGTTACTAGTCAAAATTAATATACTTGGTAAACAGAAATAAGTATTTCAGAAGTTTGAAAACTCTCAATGAATACGACTGGTGTACAAAAACTATATATAAAGGCGATCGAGCTTGCATAATGTGCACACAAACGGCTAGTTGACGAAATAAGTTGAGTACAATTCGAATCATCACTCAAACTCTCAGAAAATACTTAACTGTTATATAGTGTACTCAGTACATAGTGTGTCGGTTATATGTGTTGGTCATTTGAATCTTCCCACTGATGTTTAGGACTGCGATTCATCAGTCTCTTTTGCATATGTGCCTCCTGTTCGGATTGCTTTGGTACTTCGACTAAGTTAAAAGCGTTTCTAAGCAGTGATATATAGTGGCTAGTATTGAAACCCGGAATGTGCGTTTCGTCCCGTTTGGGGACCTTTTTGTCTGCTTTGGTTTGAGGAGTTGGATATCATTAGCTAATACTGGAGGTTTCAATGCTGAATCCATAAACGTGTACTTGATATATAAGTTACATGAGAGTACAGAGGTCTTGAAAAACATGTGACCTGTTGATTTAATTTGTACCACGAAATACGGGCTTCAGTGATTTAAATATATGTTACAGATATAGTCCAAGCATTCTCCACATTGCGTATTATTTGACTGTGTGGAATAGCTTGATAGTTGTTAGTACATGATAGTGTCGTGGGATGAAAGAAATTTTCATAAGATTTGTGTCTTCTCCATCACGACTTCGTTGTTTGGGATCTTAGTAATCATGCAAATTTTATGCTTATGACTTTATAATTAAAATGTGATAATCCGACTGTGATGGAATGGAACTTTTTGACAGGATAGAATCTATCTTGGTTGTATTTTTTAAAATTTATCCATGTCTTAGTAATTATTCTTTTTTATTTGTCTATTGATGATATGACTGTCCCACTTTTTATCTCTTCATAATGTTGTAACTCTACTTTTACGATGGGTTTTCGGTGCCCTATCGTACAAAGTTGTTTTTTTGTACAGTCCTACTCAGCACAAACTTCAAGCATGAATGGAAGTGTTCGGCTTGGTTGGCCACTGATATCACTTCTATGGTAGGGAAAAAAGTCATTTGGGTTGTTAGTTTTTCTGTAATATTTCAATGGAACTAATTATCATTCTGAATAGAATGTTGATATTTGCTGTTTTCTGTTTTTTCTATCTTCATACAACTCTTCACTTTCTAGAAAATGATGCAGTTGAAGGGGAAGACGCTACAACTGAGAAATCAAAAGAGTCGTCAGTGAATGACAGTAAAGACTCAGAAGCACCAACAGTTATGAACTTAAAACAGTGGTTAAACGAAAAGGTAAGGTAATATGGCGAACATTTTGTTATGTAGTGAAAATTCGTTATTTTGTTTGCTTAAAAGACTGCTGTTACGAAATTAAGTCAAGTTCTTTGGACTTTTTCTCGAAGGGAACTTAGGATATACAAGTGATACTGTTTATTATGCTTTGTTTGATTCATATTTATTTATCTTTTTGGATATTTTCACAGCTTGACTCAAGTACTCCTGTGGGATGGATTGATATCGAACCGTCTGAGGGAAAAGCTGTAATACGATTCAAACAACCTGATACAGCAGAAAAAGCATGGGCTAAATTAAAAGAAGCATTTGGCGATAGTCCTGTTACTTATTTAAACAGTGAATTATCAGGTCGCGTAATTACTGGTAATTGTCCATAAAATTAATACCTTTATTCATACTGTGAACTGCATATTTCACTCATAATTAGTTAACTTATGGAATGGAGTGAATTTGTCTTGCCATTAATGAGCACCCGAAATTTGCTAGATATTACATCATATAAGATCATTTTGTATACATTTTCCACGTCATTTGATTTGTTATTAATCTACTGATGTTCGTCAAACTAAAAAATCAGAAACAATTTATGCGGATTTCAGTAATTACCATATTACGTAGATGATCTTTTGCGAGAGATTGTGTAAATAAAATGACCCATAAACTCATAATAACGACTATATTGAAGATGTGATCAGCTCGAACGGAGCACATTAAAATTTCATCTTGCTTTTGTTTACCATCTAAACAAGACAAGTTATAGTACAGTAAGTCCAAATAAAATGGCAAATATAATTTCGTAGCACAGCAAATTAGTTTTCTAAGCTATCTAGTTTACTTCACTATGCTGGAAACTTTTTGATAGACTGTTTTTGTTTTGGAAGGTGACGAAGAGAAGAATCAGTGGAAAGTGATCCTAGCAGCTCAGCAACAGAAAGCTCAGAAACGACGTGGAGGACGTAGTGTAAGTTGATTTCATTCGCTTTTATTATTTGTTATTTAAACACAGATTATTAAATTTGTGTGGGCTGAGATACAGCCCGTGTGTCCAAACCGAAGCTGGTGGTTTTCTTTGTAGACCACTCCCCGAACATTTGACCTATGGGTCTAATTCACAAAGCAGTGGAGCGACGTTGGGAGATGCAGTCCTATGATAGCTAGTGACCAACAATATGTTCACACACCGTTTGTTCCCTCAGGATCCTTAAACTTTGGTTTAGAGTCAGGATTTCTCGACTCCCCTTGGTAGATTCTCTGTACCCATCAATCCGGTTCAAACCCCAGATATTTACTTTTCATCCTCTCCATCTCTTAATCAACACCATCCACGAGAAAGCAGTGAGTAGGATTACCTTAGCAGTGGCTATATACGTGTGAACATATGAGAGCATTTCGAGAGGGAGCATAAACTCCTCCCACCGTTGGTCGTACCAGGGCATTCGGGGACATTTATCTACGCATAACTGTCATTGACTTCCTTTGTAACTAAAATTTGCCAGTCTTATTGTATGAAAACTGTTGTTTCCTTCAAAATAAAATTTTATCCACATAGTTTTGACAAAGTGTAAATAAATTTTACCGATAATATTTTATATATGGATGACTATTGAATCTCATAATAGAAAAAAGTCGACTTAATAATTAGTGAGAGGATAGTTTCGTTTTCAATATTTGTTGAAGGATATGACCATTTTTGTTTGCTAAATCTCTTATAATAAATGCTCGAGAAAATGATACTTTCTGTAAAACCTTTACACATCAATCGCCTTATCATTATGGGAATGGTTTTTAGAATATCCATCAGGAATAAGCTGCTCACTTCCTGTCATAGGAAGCGGCAGTCACGTGTTGCGTATGCCTGAACACCGATTACCACGACGTCCAATGCTAACCGGTGTTGGGGGTGGTTAGAAGAAAGTTAGGGGCGGTCAAACCAAAACGTGGCATCAGTGGTTGAAGACACTAGCATCTGGTCTGAGCCATGTTGGTAGATGCAGACTACTTGGTTGAGGTCCGCTTGACTATCGTAACCAATGGTTGGAGACTGTGGATGACATGTCTCAGAATCGATCACAATGGTGTAGGTGTATACACTTTTTAAACCGTGAAATTAAAATTACTTTATTCCTTTCTTTCTACGTACTAAATTTTTCTTCCTGTACTATATCCTTATATGCAATCTTTCTTTTATGTATTGCCACCATTGACTTAACTACTCCTATGAATTCGGAGTTCATCGTGCTGTGCTAATGCGGTACGACAACTCGGACCGATGCATATTTGTGCCTGGTCCTACGTTGTAGCTGACTGACTAACTGACTGTGGCTTAACAGTCAAAGTACAACTTTTAGCCAGTAGATCACAGGTTTGAATCCCACCTCATCTACTTTGAATATTTTGTAGTTCAACAGGTACTGATTTGCGTATTGGGCTTTAAATCATACTTTATGGGCTAGTAATACTACGTGGATACTTAGACCAAAGCAGCTAAAGCGAGTTTTGAATCTGCGATCTACTGTCTGAAAGTTGAACACCTTAGTCATTAGGTCACCACCGCACCTTTGGTTTAGGCAGCCGAGTAGCATTACCAGTGTAATCTAAAACGCTGGGTCCATAGACCCTTACTTGGTGAATATGTCATATCATCATCCTTGCGAAATATCTGGAAATTCGATAGGTAAGTCAATGAGTAATTAAATACTAGGAAGTTTTATGCAATTTTCACCGTTTCAAAAGTAAGCATTTCATTTCTAAACCAATTTTAAAAATTGGTAGTAATCTGATAATATTATCTTTACTAAAAGAGCCAGGCTGATAACGTTAACTCATTACTGACTCATAACGATGATAACTTTAAATATAATAATCTCTTTTTTCTGTCTGTGCTATCCATCTACAATTCCAAATCACATCGATCATGAGTGTTCACCCAAGAAATAGTTATAAGCTACACGTTTGAATTATTAATATTAACTGTATTGCGAGGAATACAAAGGAGGCTGAAAAAAGTTTAGATGTAAACAATATGTGAATTGTTTTAGTCAGAATTTTGATTGGGATCATGAATGGTTCAATATTAAACCACCATTGAAAACCTGGGAGCACTGAACGGCCGTTTTGCTATGGTATGGGTTTCTTCAGCAGTGCGCAACCCAGGACCTTTGTTCTCACGCAAACACTTAACTTTTGAACCACTGAGCCGGCATCCAACGGTGTTAATGTTTAAATTCCATCGATCCATGAACAGCTGCGTAACAGTTCATTCATTCTCTCAGGTAGATACCCGACACGAATCGAACTCTACTGGTCACGGCTTCTCATTAGAACTCCAGGAAATCTATCTTGAAGCCAGTCACTAGTGAGCACATGATGATTGTCATCAGAATGGGGGTTTGTGGAGATTGTAGTAATTTTAGTCAGAATTACCTAATATGATAAGTATATATAATTGGGTACATTAACTGCCGTAGTTGAAATTCATTCAGGATGGTGTGGCCAATATACATTGATAATAACCACTTTTTTACTTACCTGCTAGTAATTCATGAAGACAATAATACTTTCGCATTTTGATCATTAATGTGGTGGTTGGAGACAATAACTTACGTGTAAAGAGAAATTTATAAATGCTAAGATCTGGTTATTTAATTTCTTAATTCGACTTTAATGTTAACTTTGAGATAAAAATAAATACCAAGTTATTTTTACTGGAAGTATAATAGTCCGATTATCTTCACCCATAACTACCATTTATTACCTGAGCGCTGTAATATTTCCCAGACATTCAAAAGAGAACAAATGGTTATATTAGGCACCTTCAATCCTTATGTAATCATTTAATCCTCAAAGTTGTAAAGCATCATTAATGTATGCTATCCCGTAGCAGCCGATGACCAATGATTCCCTTGAGACATTACAATCCATATATATTATTGAATTGCGACCAAGGTTTCCAGACTGTACATATCCACCAACTCGGATTAAACGTCGAAAGTCTCCCTTTGCCCCACTTTTATTAAATCTTCACGTGAGAGTAGTAAGATTTTCCTGGAACTGGTTATGTGTGTGTCTAGATGAAAGCATTTCGGTAGAAGAGATCAGACTATACTCTTTCGGCAGTACCAAATCATTTAGAGACCTTTTCTTGACAAATATCTATCATAATTTATTGCTAATTACATTTATGTTAATCCTTTTTAGGATGGAAGACAAATTCGTAACAAACGACGTCGTACGAACTAAGTAAAATGGAACAGATTGAGCTCCACTTACTACTGACTTCATTACTGTATATTCATTAAAAATAAACTTTACTTTTAAATATTTTCTTTCACACAAATAAGAGAAGCTATGTAAACAGCGATCATTTGTAATGGAAAATATATGTATTTGGTTTGAGAAAGTGTCTTTTTCCATGTTTAAACCCTAAATTTACATTTTACTGTTACCATCTATTGGGATGCGCTTACATTTTACCATTGTTAAGAGAATATTCATTATGAAAGTTTGTCATACTTCATTATTCGTCAGGAACTTTTTGTTTTCTAATGTAATTCGAAAGTGGCATGAAATCGCACAGTTGATTGGTACAAGAGGCTAGTGATACTACTGTATGTTCAGTGTTAAGTAGCTGAGGCTGAAATCAAACATTAGGCCTAATAGTTTGAGTTTGAGTGCTATAAGTTGGTCTTACTGTTTGCATTTGGACTCAACGAAAGTTACATTTACAACTTGCAGTTGTGGATATTACAGCATTGGTATTTGGGATATGATCGATGGATATTAATAATCAATTATGCTTACGAGGTTTAGACGCTTTCATTCATGGATCTCAGCCCATTTTTCCTAGCCGTTGCAGTTTTTGCATCTAATATGTGTGTTACTAAATTGTATTGGTCGAACTTTGAGGATACTATGCTCCCAAATATGTGAGTAAATGTTGAGTTGTATTTCTGAAGATAAGCTGTAATGTTTTCACATTGGAACTAGTTTTCGTTGTTGATCAAAGTTCATCAACTAGTGGAATGTGGATCTCGATGATCAGAAAACGTTAAATATAATAAGTGGAGAAACCTATCATTATGTTATTCTCTTCAGTTAGTTCTCTATCGTCTTTTTTTGCCAGAGTGTAGATGTTTATATTTCTGTACCTTAAATCAAGTCATTCGTATGATTGTATGTACGGCAGTTGATAAACTTGTTTTCTTTACAGATGGTTCGTCGATCTTCATATGTAAATCGTGATTGTAAAAATAATAAATCCAGCCCAAATGAAATAGTTCCTGTATGCGAGTCTCGCAGAACCCGTGTGAAATCACTGAGACGAAGACCAACTAGTTCAAATAGACCGCACTACAATCCATGTGAACGTCGTCGTCGTTTACAAACAATGATCCGCGAGGTCTACAATCGTATTCGGTGTGCTAATTTAACATCCAAGTGGAATCATGTATTTGAATTGATGTCTAAGAACCGACGTTTGTTAAGCGAGCAACTGAATTCTGCTCATGCTGCTAATCTCGCAGCTCGATCTATCACCTGTGATGAAATGTGGCCTAATTCCAATTCTGCCGATCCACCTTTATTAGCTGAACCGGTAGAAATTCCTAATGTCTATAGTCAATTCGGCAAATTTGAGGCTCGAATCGGTGGTGTATCTTATCGTGTTGCTATTACAATGATGCCCCAGGTGAGTAAATTCAATACGATCAGTATGTGTCAAATTCTCTTTTCAGTTTTTCACCTATACATAAAAATGTTGACTTAATTGCTGTGTTTGTTGTCATTCTCTTTCCACTCTTCCACTTTTATAGGTTGATCCTGTGCCTTCCGTTTGTATGTGGGCTCCTGTTCAACATAATTTCTCTGTTGAAGATGAAACAGAATTAGCTAATCTACCATATATGGGTGATGATCAAGCTCAGGAAGATGTGAATTTTTTAGAAGAACTTCTGAACAATTATGATGGTCATTTACATGGTAATTTTCCATTTGAATTTGAAGAGTCACTTCTGGTTCAATTGGTTAATGCAGTCGCAAAAGCATGGCCAGATATTATCGCACAATGTGGATTAATACCATATAAAAATCAAAAAGGTGAACACCGACCCATAGATTTACCACAAAATCCAATTGCAGTTGATTCCTCATCACAAGAAATCGATGCATCATCAATATCATCATCAGTAATTGGTATTGTTGACGAAACTGGTCTAGTTGATTCTAATTGTAAATCAAATGAACGTGTCTTGAAAAGATCGAAACCAGATGAAGAAGATAGTGACGAAGTTTCAACTACAAAAAAAGGTCGTTTCACCCGTCGTTCAGGATTTATCGAAATTAAAGATGTTGAAGTAAGTTCCATTGTTTACTTTCCCTTGTATGAAACTATCAATAGCTCCCGTAAATTTCGCAGAAGACGAACTGATCTTTATGTCCAGCGGTAGCTTAACCATTAAAGCGGTCAGCTTTCAACTACAGTCGACCTTATACTCAAGAATTGCTCCAGTTATTTTGATCTTGGCAATTGGATATTATTGCTAGCTCCTCATACACAAGCAATGTGATTCAAAGCCGAATACGAAAATTTTCACTTCCAAAATGAGTTGCACAGCTGAGTGTAAATTTCCAATGCATTCGTCACACATGTTAGTTTTTTTATACCAGCACTGAACGATTAGTGTTAAGAATTGCAGTGTATTTCTTATCTTTGCCATTGGAAATAAATTGATAAGTAATCACTTTAAAACAACAGTTATTTCACAGCTACAGTCTTAAGAATTTAATTCTGGCTAAACGATTGTTGCAAACTGAAACGTGGCATCAGTCCTTGAAGTCACTAACTTCTGGTCTGAGCCATGTTGGTAGATGCAGACTGCTTGATTGGGGTCCTCGCGACTATCGTAACCAATCGTCAGAGACTCTTGATGACCTGGCTCAGGATTGATCACAATGGTGTAGGTGTGTACAATTTGTTATACTTTAAGCCGTGAAATTAAAATTACTTTATACCTCTCTTTCTACGACCTAATTCTTTCTTTCTGTATTATATTCTAACATGCAATCTTTCTTTTATATATTACTACTATTGAAGCAACAACTATGGATTTAATGTTCATTTTGTTGTGCTAATTAGGTGTGGCAACTTGGACCGATGCATATATGTGCCTGATCCTACTCTGTAGCTGGCTGACTGATTTCTTAAATAAAATAGTTGTTGTACAACTAACCCTTCATTTTTACATTGAATACCTATTGACCCTGGTGATAATCTGATCCATGTTAGTATGCGCATATAATTGCTGGTCATTATACACTTGCTAATCGTAATCTTCAGTTGTAGTTGTTATGGATGATATAGTCTGAAATCGGTTTCAATGACTCGTGTTTATGTTCATTGTGTATTCTTCCGTAAATCTCAAATCATGTATGATTATCAATCTTTCGTTCTTTGATTTTATTTCAGTTTTTTTTGTAAAGCGGTTTGTTCATGTTTAGATTTCGTTCAAGTTATATTTATATCTGGCTGCTAATACCTTTTTTTGTCTCTTAGATTACTAATATTAGTGTTGGTACACTTTTTGCCGTGTTTATGTTCTTATTTGATTATGTCACATGTTTGAATTGTAATAAATTTCTCAGTATCGAAAGCGAACTTAGTTTGATAAATTTGATTTATGGATGGAATAATCAAATGACACTTTACTTTTTCCAGGTAACAATAAGCAATAGTATAATACCACCTAATATCAGCGTTAATCTTCCCGAATTCAATGATAAAACACTGGTTAGTCTCCATAATAAGCTGAAAATTGAAGACAATAATGAGGAAATCAAATGTGAACTGATCGCTACCACACAACAATCTCCGAAGATAAGAAATTCCGTTGATTCACATCATAGTGATCGTGATTCAAATTCTCCAGACCCTAAGCGTCTCAATACCACTGGGATTCCAGATGGAGTATTCTCTGTGAGTTAAACTTTAGAAAAATTCTGATTCTAGACAGTTTGTTTCCTATACCATTAGGGTGGCTAAAGTTAACTGCAACGTTTTCATTATTCACTAAGTGTTTTGTACTCACATCTTCGATCATTTCTCTGTTCATTTAGTGAATGAGTTCTGCCTATAAGTGTTTAGTTCTCATTACAAATTCCACTCAAAGTTCAAACTTTTACTATATTTGTGTTTTTCATCTATTACGTCGAGATGCAATATACTGGATATGTCCATAGCTGATATCTGGGAATTACTGTCGTCTATTTATCCGCAGTTCTATTTCGAATCCGAGGTTAATATTCTTCATGATGAGTTCTTTCTAACCACTTTATTTATTTTATTTTAACAAATAGATATTGGTACAAGGAGGCACCAGATACATATGCGCCACACAAATGTCATTTGATTTGTGTGAGGGCTGTGATACTGCCCGGGTGCCCAAACCGAGGCAGGTGGTTTTCTTAGGGGACCACGCCCCGAGCCTTCGACCTGAAGGTCTGATCCACAAGGCAGTGGAGCATCGTAAGGAGATGCAGTCCCATGGAAGCCGGTGACCAACGATTGTTTCATACGCCATTTGTTCCCGCAGGATCCTGGAGCGCATGTGCACCATTGGTTTGGAATCAGGGTTTTCCAACTCCCCTAGATGAACTCTCCATGTCCACCAACCCGGTCAAAGCACCGGACATTCGCTTTTGGTTCTCTCAATTTCGTAAACAACACCCCCGCTACTAGAGGTCAGTGAGTAGGACTTCCCTGTCAGAGGTTATATATTCGCGTCGCCATGTGAAAGCATTTGGAGAGGGAGAGCGGACCCTCCCCACTCTCGGCCGTACCAGGGCATTTGGGGGCCACTGTCTATTGTAATATAGTTGTTCTTTACATAATTTTAAGTTAGCTTATTGTTTGCAACAATATAAATAGTCTGTTGGAAGTAGCTGTGATTTAAATCAAGGTAATTGATGTAAGCTGAAGGTAAATAAGTTTTCTTTGCTAGTTTTCAGTATTATTTTTCTGTATATGACATAAATTAAATACTTTTGTTTTATCCTTCCAGTTGAATAGCTACATTTCACTTAAAACAATCTAATGTACAATTTTGTTTTTCTTAGAAATCACTCATTATGGATCTATGCATTAGTTATTTCAATGGTGTTCTTGTGTTACTTGTCTTTTACAACAGATGATAATCTTGTTATCATTCTAAACTTTTATATTCCCTATTTAATAGGATTACTGAATT